CGCCCCTCCCACCCCGCCCCAAACCAGGACATCCGCTTTACAAGCGCTATTCTGTGAGTCTTCATACATACATGGCGTATTTGAGAAGAACTACAGGAAAATGTCCTGTGTGTTACTTAAGGGTTAGGATTTTCATAATTTTCTGACCATCCTGTCATTATAAACTTTCTTTTTTTTTTGGTGGAAAACAAAAATGAGATCACTGGCAGAATGTACGAGCTGCTGTTTTTCATAAATTTAAAGTGAATTGTGATTGTGCGCTTTATTCCAAGCCTCCTGAAGCAGTGTGGTATTGTTAACTAAAACTAAAAATGAAACTATTAAAATTTGTTTTTGAAAATTGAAATAAACCCTCAATAAAATAAAATATAAATACTGGATTAAAAACTTGCACTTAAAAAATGTTCATGAAAATGATAAATGTTGCCTTGATAGATTACAAAAACTGAAACAAAATATTAAATAATAAATTAGCTAAATAGAAATAATTAAGAAAAAATATAAATGACACAAGAACATAATAAAATTACTAAAACTTAATAAAATGAAATAAAATATTAATGTTATATTAAACTTAAACTTAAAAAACTTAGATAATTAGAAATGATGCTATGGCAACTGAAATAAAATGTGTTTACTCAAACTAAAACTGAAATAAAAATTAATTAAAGCTAAATAAATAAAAAATAAAAACGATAAAAGAACAATGCAATTACCAAAACAAATGTAATGAATTGAAATGTAATACAATAATGAAATAAATATGATATGAAACTTAAAAAACTTAAAAATGTTGCCTTGGCAAGATACTAAAATTATTCAAACTAAAACTGAAATAAAAATAAAATTACTGTATATCAAAATATAAAAAAATAAAATTACTAAAAATAAAATTAAAATGAAAACTTAATATAAAAATAAAATTTGCAATATTAATAAATACTATATTAGTATAACAGTTCTCAGTCTGAAGTTTAAGTTCTTAAGTCTTCTAATTTCTTTTCTTGTTGCTGTTCGTTCAAATATAAAACGACACCTTTAGACATGCCTTTGGCCAACTGTCTTTGGTTCTCGCATGTCATGTGACCAATTACGATGCTGCAATTAAAAAAAAAAAAGTTCCAGCAGGTGTGATTTTCAGTGAACTCTGTTTCTTAAACAAAGCATCATATGCTCTTGCATGAATTTAGTGCACAGGCCATATGTAACGATCCATCTGTGTGATTGTATAAATCACCATGCACCTTTGAAAACAGCAGCTCGCACATTATACCTAACTTCTTTGACCTGCACAGAAGAGAGAGGGTGAGAAAATGTTTATTTATGAGTGAACTGCCCCTTTAAATGTATTTCAGTTGAATGTGAGAAAAAATCCCAGGAGGTCTATAAATAAAAAAGCCATGTAAACAGCAGCTGCTTTGTGTGTTTGTGCATTAGAGAAAAGTTCTTCCAGGAGGTGCAGAGCTGGAGAATACCAGCAAAGAGCAAGAGGAACCACCTGAGGAAACATCTTTGCATGTCAGTGTACACACACACACACACACACACACACACACACACTCACTCACTCACTCACTCACTCACTCACTCACTCACTCACTCACTCACTCACTCACTCACTCACTCACTCACTCACTCACTCACTCACTCGATTAATCGCGATTAATCATTTGACAGCACTTATATATATAAAATATGTTATTTAGGTATACATATGAAAGGTTAAACATTTGTCTATGGAAATTAGGTTTTAGTCATGGAAATTCGTTGGTCATTATAAACAATGTCAGTCACAAATTTCACAAAACTGATGCCAGTAAAACTAGCATAATTCCTAACAATCAGCTCCTGTGTTGCTCTGTCCAGGTGCGTCGTGGCTCGTTTTGCATTCGAGGGGGAGGAGGGGGAGCTGTCCTTCACTGAGGGTGATGTCATCACTCTAATGGAATATGTAAATGAGGAGTGGGGGCGTGGCCTCCTGAACGGACAGACGGGGATCTTCCCTCTCAGCTTCATCCAGGCTATAGAGGAAACTGAAGCGTTGCCAAGGAAACCGGCTCTGGAATCTCCTGGTAAATAAACATTCTCCCTCTGAATATTCATTAACCACGGACCAATCAGCAGTGAGCGTGACCGAGACTGGCCAACGTCGCAAAATGAAAGTTATTTTTATGTTATGGCTCATAATGTCAGTCTACACTGTATTTTTATTATGCTCATAGATGTATCATGCATCTGTAGTCTGTATTGATTGACAGGCCGTCTCTTTCTCTCCAGCGCCCCCTGCAGGAGCGAGAATCAGAGGACGAGCACTTTATGATTTCACTCCTGAGTGTGAGGACGAGCTCTGTCTGAAGGTCTGTGGGAGATTCACTGTGGCACAGTCATGAAAACCTGCAGTTGGGTTGTTTTGATTAAATAATAATAACAAAAAAATAAATAAATACAGCTAACGAACACAATAAAAACACGATTTAAGAAAATTTATAAAAACGTTATCTGTTTTTGCAATTAAACGCCTCATAAATATATATATTTTATATTTTTAGGAAAATATATATCAGCATTAATGAAAATATATTTTAAAAATGAATATATAAAATTATATAATTATGTAAAAATATTGTAATTATATGTGTATACAGTATATAGTTAATATGTATATATACACACAATAAAACATTAAAATTATTTTAGTTAATATTTAAAACTATATTAATATATATAAAATATTATGTAATTCTAAAACAATTCAATATTGTAAATATATTGTAATTATATTTGTCTGTTGTAATTATATATATGTGTGTATTATATAAGAATTATAATTATTAAATAATATAAATATTATATTAAAAATATAATTGATATATATTCAAATATAATGATTACTATTTTATCATATAACAAATGAGTAATATTTAATAATACTAATTTAAATCAAATGTATTTAAATATTTGGTTAAATATGGGTTTTATGTCATGGAAATTCATTGGTCTAAACGTGTGTGTGTGTGTGCGTGCGTGTGTGTGTGTGTGTGCAGGCAGGAGATGTGGTGTGTGGTTTGGAGGACATGGATGCTGAGTGGTTCCTCGGAGAATCCGGAGGGAAACGTGGCATCATTCCCAAAAACTACATCCAAGTGCTGCTGGACCCCTGAACACACGGGCTGTCCTGTCATGTGCCTGATGAGCGTTTCTGCATTTGCCTTAATTAGATGTAATACAGTTAAAGGAGGTTAGTGAGGGGATCTCCTGTACTGTACTGACATGTGTGTGTGTGTGTGTGTGTATGTGGCCAGATGAACTTGTTTACAGTTTTAACCCACATTAAACTGATCAGTTATTAAGCATTGTTCTGTCTTTTCTTTTTATCAACAGTCAAGCTTTCCTTCGAGCACAGCAGTTTTTTTACTCTTTCTGTACATTCAGTTACAAGATTCTAGACGTTTCCATTTTTCCACCCTTTTTAAACAAATTTACATGACCAGGAATTCATGATTTACTGGATAAGGATTCATAAAAATATTTTTTAACTCACAATTTCAACATGATAAAATATTGTAGAGCTTGGAATAACTAGTCAAATGTATATTCATTATAAAAGTGGCCAAAGTTTGTGGTCGGTAAGACTTTTAATGTCTTTGAAGTTTCTTCTCTGCTCACCGAGGCTGCATTTATTTGATCAAAAATACTGTAAAAATTGTGAAATATTATTATAATTTAAAACAGCTGTTTTCTAAGTGAATATCTGTTAAACTGTAATTTATTTCTGTGATGCGCAGCTGTATTTTCAGCATCATTACTCCAGTCTTCAGTGTCACTTGATCTTCAGAAATCATTCTAATATGCTGATTTGCTGCTCGAGAAACCTGCCAACCTTGCATACAAAAATGAAACCAAAAAAGTGGATTCACGCTTAAATTTGTGACACTATCAGCGTTCGGTTTCATTTCAGCCACCGTTCACATGCAATAAAACACAGAGTCGCGTTCAGCTACTAATGATGTATTGTTGCAATACAAAACAAAACATGAAATAAATCCATAATTAGAATAATTACGAGGAGCTTTAGGCCCCGAACAGCCACCGTACAAAAGTTAATACCGTTGAAACCACAAGCGACCGTTCAGATCAAATTAAATGAACAGTTCTTCTAAAAAAAGGAGGCATTTCATGGAGATAAACACACACACTCATTCAGTAAAGGCCGAAGTTTTGGTGTAAAGCGAAGTCATAACACTACATCAGGCTCGTAACACATTTGGCCACACAAATCAGACGTAAAGAAACATCCAGCAACACAATTGAAACGTCTCGTTCTCATTCAGTTCCAGACGTTCTTAAACGCGTTCAGGTATAAAGATGTCTGAAATGAGACTCTAATGATGCACCCGATCAGACACAAACACCGACACATATGTACAGAGAGAGAGAAAGAGGAGCAGGTTCAGGACACAGTGCAGTAAAAGTCGAGGTCGCTGGTTTAGTTGAAGCCCTGCGTACAAACACAGACCAGAACGGGAGAAAATGAACGCGGACCACTAGATTCTACATGATCTGAAGAACACGTTTACATGCACTCAAATAACCCGTTATTATCATGTACCTCCCTCAGTCAGTCCGAATGAAATTTAGATCTGATTGTAATAAGGGGTGCTGCAGACCTAAAATAATATGCAGGGGGAAAACATAAGCGTGCAATCGCTCTAATAGCCTACTATTATTTTATCGAACGGATTCAAAAATTTTTTTTGAATGTGCCGAGAACAGATTCAGAACAGGGTTGCCAGGTTTTCGCAACAAAACCCACCCAATTGCTACCTAAAACTAGCCCAAAATTAGCACAATCGCGTTTCGAGGGGGGTTCCCCGGTAAAAATCACATTCCGGGGGGTAAATACACGTTTTTCGGCAGGGATCTTCCAGTAAAATTCACATTCCAGGGGCTAAATATTAAGTTTTTGGGGTCGCTTCAACCCGCGGGCATGAAAAACAACCCGCGGCAACAGTGTTAAAGTAGCCCAATTCTACGGGAAAACCGCGGACTTGGCAACACTGATTCAAAAATAATTTGAAAGTGCCGAGATGCGTCTTATAGTAGATCTCTGTTTTACATATGTTTTACAAACGTGCTTATTTATTTACCTCCTGCGAACGAATGAACCCAGCTAACGTTCTCGCAACTTTGGTTAAGGTTCTCGCAAGCTTATGAACATTCTTCCAGTAACGTTAATAGAATGTTCACTCAAAGTTCTCTGGTCTTTAAGAATGTTCTTAAAACTTTGGCACAAAAACATTATTTATACTCCGTTCCTGGAACTTTGTTTTTTTCTGAAACGTTTTAATTTGACATATATCTTACGTTTTTTAAATGTTACTAGTTTTAGAATGTTCAGAGAACATTCAAAAGTAACACTGCCATAATGATAAAATAGAACCAAGAAAAACGTTTCTAAACATTTAAAAAAAACAAAAGGATGTTCATAACATGATGGAAACATTAGGAAAACGTTCTTAGAACATATTTTCTGGGTATTTATACATCGTTCATGAAACATTTCTGAAACATTTTAGTTGGATGTTCATCTAATGTTTTTTAAATGTTACTACTTGTTTCAGAACGCTCGGAGAACATTCAAAAGTAACGTTCCCATAATGGTTGCAAAATAACATTTGCAAAACCAAGAAAAAAAATTAAAACATTTAAACATCTGGAAGTTTTGAATGTTCAGAGAACATTCAGAAATTATCTTTTTATAACGTAACGTTACTAAATCATTCTTAAAACATATTTTTGTTAGCTGGTCAGTGGAGGAGAATGAATATTTACTAAATATTTGCTAAAAAAAAAAAAAAGCTCTCCTGACATACTTGACAATTAAACTCTAGTTAGCTCTGGTGACATTAGTGGCTTTTTCCAGTTCTGAACTTGGTGTCTGTTGTTTGGAATACATAAATATAGCCTACATGTAAATTAATGTGAATCGCAGAGTTTAGCGTTCATATAAAAGATCAACTGCAAAAGTTTATATAAACAACTTCCAGAATCTGAAATTGATTCGGATTGACAAAACTGAGTGCATGTAAACTAGAGGTTTCAGCATGAGGCTAACACTAAAATATGAGGACTAAGTGATATTTATGGTTGACTTGGTCAGCGCCACTAAGAACTAGACGGAAGATGCTGAGAGAAGGTGGTCTGGTCTGGTCTGGTCTTGGTGTTGAGGTTTGTGGTGGTGATCAGGGTTTCTCTTCTTCTGCGCCTCCGCAGAGATTCATCAGACTACTGCCAGCTGTCATCGACTGTACACACGGTCAGAAACAATCAGCTGTTACACTCAACATTTACAGCATTTATTTGAAATAGAAATCTTTTGTAACATTATAACTGTCTTTACTGTCACTTTTGATCATTTTAATGCTAAATAAATGCAATTTCTTTAAAAAAAAAAGTATGTATGAGGTTGTTACCATGGAGATGATCCACCTGTAACAGAGGAAACGAGACACAATGTATCAGCTGAAGGTAATTGTGGTATGTTGTGTGTGTGTGTGTGAGAGAGAGAGATTCACCTCAGCCTCTGCTGCTGTGCTGTTGTGTGTGTTTTCTGATTCAACACCATCTTTCATCTCACACGCCATGTTAGTGTCCATCACAGCATCGTCCTGCTCACACACAACAACATTTACATGACGGTAAGATTTTCTGAATGAAGTCTCTTCTGCTCACCGAGGCTGCATTTATCTAATCAAAAATATAGTAAAAAATGTGAAATATTTTTACAATATAAAATAGCTGTTTTCTATGTGAATATCTGTTAGACTAATTTATTTCTGTGATCAAAGCTGTATTTTCAGCATCATTACTGCAGTCTTCAGTGTCACATGATCTTCAGAAATCATTCTAATATGCTGATTTGCTGCTCAAGAAACATTTCTGATTATTATCAATGTTGAACACAGTTGTGCTGCACAATATTTTTGTGGAAACCGTGACACATTTTATTTTTCAGTATTCACGGATGAACAGAAAGTTCAAAAGAACAGCTTTTATTTTAAATAGAAATCTTTTGTAACGTTATAAATGTCTTTACTGACACTTTTGACCAATTTAATGCATCCTTGAATAAAAGTACTAATTCCTATAAAATAAATTATATATAGTGTACAGAATGTGAATATTCTATGTGTGTGAGCGTGTGAGTGAGCTTGTCTGTGTATGTGTGTGAGTGTGTGTGAGTGTCTGAGTGTGAGAGTGTGTGTGTGAGTAGGGCTGTCGCGATAACCGCAATATCTCAATACCGCGCTATTGACGAGCAAACCGCAGAGGAATGCAAGAACAGCAGCAACCGTGATTTTTGCGTGTTTTCTTTTTTCGTAAGGTTATGCCCTTCTCGCTCGACACTTCATGCATGTGGACTGAATATTAAACAAGTTAGTAATGATAACATAATGTGTACCATGCTGATTTGTACAGAGGCTCTGTGTTTTTCTGTCAATATGGGGTGCTGTGTGTACATTAATGAGGAAAAAAAATTAACTTAAATGATTTTAACAAATGGCTGCAATATAACAAAGAGTGAAAAATTTAATGGGGTCTGAATACTTTCCGTACCCACTGTATATATATACACGTGTAATGCGTTAGGCTAACCGAGACATTTGTCATTTGCACTTATATATTGTTGCTCTTTTGATAGTTTTGACTGCTTTTATTGTCCTCATTTGTAAGTCGCTTTGGATAAAAGCGTCTGCTAAATGACTAAATAAATAAATAAATATATATGTATATGCATGGCGATAATACCGCATACCGCGCTATTGAGCCACTCAAAATTACCGCAAGGGAAATTCCCTCACCGTGACAGCCCTATGTGTGAGTGTGTGTGTGAGTGTCTGAGTGTGTGAGTGAGTGAGTGTGAGTGTGTGTGTGTGTGTGAGTGAGTGAGTGAGTGTGTGAGTGTGTGTGAGTGTCTGAGTGTGAGAGTGTGTGTGTGTGTGTGTGTGTGAGCGTGTGAGTGAGCTTGTCTGTGTATGTGTGTGTGAGTGTGTGTCTGAGTGTGTGAGTGAGTGTGTGTGTGTGTGAGTGTCTGAGTGTGAGAGTGTGTGTGAGTGAGTGTGAGTGTGTGTGAGTGAGTGAGTGTGTGTCTGAGTGTGTGAGTGAGTGTGTGTAAGTGTGTGAGTGTGTTTGTGTGAGTGCGTGTCTGAGTGTGTGTGTGTGAGTGAGTGTGTGTGTGAGTGTGTGTGTGAGTGTGAGTGTGTGTGTAAGTGTGTGTGTGTCTGTGTGTGTGAGTGTGTTTGTGTGAGTGTGTGTGTCTGAGTGTGAGAGTGTGTGTCTGAGTGTGTGTGTGTGTGTGTGTGTGTGTCTCCTCACCTGCACCCACGGGTGTTCCAGCACCTCGTCAGCCGTGTAACGAGCACCAACACTCACCTGCAGCATCTTACCAATTAAATCCTGCAAAAGACGAACATCAGATTGTTATGGAAGCTTGCTTTCGCCACGGAATAAAAGCATAAAAGCACAAAACATCTCTCAATTCTGACTTTTTTTGTTGTTTGTTTGTTTCTGCCTCAAAATAAAAATACAAAAAGTAGTCAAGGTAATTGGACGATTTGGACTTCTCAGAATTGCAAGTTCATGCTGCAAGAAAAAAAGTCACAATATCCCGTGGTTCAACAATTCGTAACTTGAAAGTAAAAAGTGAAAGTGCGTGCTGCGTGAGCGTTTATTCTGCGTTTGTGTGGTCGCTGTTCGCTCACTTTAGCAGAGAGGCTGATGTTGTCCCAGTACGGCGAGGGAAACTCCAGTCTGCCCAGTAAGATCTGCTCGAACAGCTCCTCCTGCTGGTTCTTCTCGCTGCGGAACGGAGGAAAACCACACAGCAAGATGTATGTGATCACACCCGCAGCCCAGATGTCCACCTTCAGCCCGTACCTGCAGCACACAATCAAATCAGACCATAATTCACTTCAATATTTGTTTTGTACAAAACAGGGTTATTAGAGTTAGCCAAAACCCTAAAAATGTTACTTGAAATAAAGTATTTTATTATTTTATTTCAGTTAACATTTTAACTTGTTTTATTTCAACTAGTTGTCAGAGCAACTTTTCTCGTTTTATTTTTGTTCTAAAATAACAAACTGAAATAAAAATGATCAGAAACTATATAGACCTTTCAAAAAACGAATGAAAACGACAAACACATTACTAAAACCAACTAAATTGATACTACTAATAGATACTATAGTAGTATCTCAGTGATAAAATAACTGAAGGAATGCACTGCAAAAATAGTATTCTTCCTCAGTATTTTTGTCTTGTTTTGCAGTACAAATATCTAAGCATTTTTAAAATCTTGATACATTTTTCTGACCACATTAACAGAAAAATTACCTCAGGGTGATGGTATTAAAATGTAATTAAACTAAATACATTTACACTAAACGCAACTACTAAGTAAAGACTCATAAGAATCACTGAATCATTTTTATGAACTGCTTCATTCTGTAAAGCCTGCCATAAGACAGTTTATTGAGCCTTTAGACAAAATAGATAGAAAACGTTTGTGTACATTTTTGAAAATCCAGGCTTTTATGACTCATATTGTCTGATCTAGTGAGAATATGGAGAAAGAAAATATTAATTTTATTCAGACTCAAACTGATCAAAAATATGAATTTGCTACAGATGATATTTGATGATGTTAAATAATGAAATTCTGATGCTTGTGATGTTAATCAATGAGATCTTTATAACAGTAGAGCAGATACTGACATAAAATGATCTGAATCTCAGTCGTCGCTCTATATCTGCAGTAATCTGTCTCAGTAAGATGAGATTGAAATGCTCCAAACATATAATGCAGTGATTGAGAGCTGAAGAAATAAAGGCTCCTCAGAAGATGTGAGATGTTCTGGAGGCTTGTGAAGATCATTCCTCCGCTGAGGAACAGTGAAAGTAAAGCTTCTGGAAACAAACGCTCCTCAAAAGATCCTGAGGATCAGATTTGAGACTCTAAAACATGATTGATGGAGAATCAAGTAAAGCCCAGCTGCTTCAGTCCAGTAAGTGTTCATCTGGAGATATTACTGCAGTTATTCTGACCTTTACTTGATCAAAACCAGTCAAGATTTGACACGAGAAGCGTTTCTACAATTACACTAAAAGAGCTTTTACTGGATAAAACACTCTAAACTATCAATCAGAGACAGAAGACATGAGGAGATCGAGTGGGACAGAAAAGATTGATCATTTAGAGCTTTAGAAATGGAGTTTTACCCGCTCTCTGTGATGATCTCTGGTGCGACGTAAGTCGGCGTCCCACAGACGGTGTACAGCGGTCCCTCCACCACCGTCGCCAGACCAAAATCACCCAGCTTCAGAGACTTGGTGCCGTCTGGATACTCACACACCTGCACACACACAGATGTGTGTTTATACGCTGTACGAGTGTGAGTGTGTGTGTGTGTGTGTGTGTGTGAGAGTGTGTGTGTGTGTATGTGTGTGTGAGAGAGTGTGTGTAAGTGTGCGTGTGTGTGTGTGTGTGAGAGTGAGAGTGTGTGTGTGCAGATGTGTGTACGCTGTATGAGTGTGAGTGTGTGTGTGTGTGTGTGTGTGTGAGAGTGTGTGTGTGTGTGTGTGTGTGTGAGAGAGAGTGTGTGTGTGTGTGTGTGTGTGAGTGAGTGAGTAAGTAAGTGTGTGAGTCTGTGTGTACCAGCAGGTTCTCAGGTTTGATGTCTCGGTGTACGATGTTCATTCTGTGCAGGTATCGCAGTGCTCCGGTCAGGTTGAACAGCATGGCGCTGGCGTCTCGCTCTGTGTACTTCGTGGAGGAAGTGATGGCATCAAACAGATCACCGCCCTGCAGAAAACACACAACACTGCGGCTGACTGACCTTCACCAGCTCCATCACCAGGTACAGTTCAGTGGGCGTGTCCAGCTCCTCTATTAACATAATGATGCTGGGGTGATGAACCCTGCGCAGTATTGCCACCTCATTGGCTATCAGGTGCTCCTGTCAACACCAGTCAACCAATCAGAATCTCTGCTGTGTTTCACTGTTGTGTAGTGAGTGACTAAATATGTGAAAATGTTTTCTAGTTTACTAGAAACTACGTTTAATTTCAAAACTGCACAGATTTAAAGAAGCTGGAGTCAATTATTATAGTTAACAAAAAAAAACTTTTTGTTACTTGAAATAAAAACAAAATTTCATTTTCAGCTGTAAAGCAGCTCTACAGAAGACAGTAGAGTCATTATTCAGATCAACTCATTTGAACTTTAATGTAAACTGAAGGCTATTGGGTATTGCTTATTCAAAAAAGTGCATAATTTCCTGTTTTATCAGGAAATAATAACTGAATACATCTATACGCATTTCAAATAATCTCAAAGGATCCTTATTCAACAACATGAATGAAATGAAGAAAGAGGGAAAGGCTTCAGACAGCAGAAGAGCTGATGAGGTATTTTAATTAGAGTCACTTTACTGTTTAAGAGGAAAGTGTTTGAAGTGGTACCTTGCCGCTGCATTTGGCCTTGTCAATGATCTTCAGCGCATATTCCTGTCCTGTAGACCTGAGACCAGCACACATGACATTCACAGCGAATACATGCAACCTCTGCAGTTAGTTTGATAGATAATGTCTCTCTAGTTACCTCTCCACACACTCTCTGACTACAGCGAAGTTTCCATCGCCGATCACCTTCCCCACTTTATACTTCTCAGTGATGACAGACGACTGAACTTCATTACCGTTCACTGCAGAGAGAGAGAGTGTCACAGAACATCAAAACAACAGCCAATCAGAATGCACCTGATGTTTAATATGCAGCTATGTGGGATTTTTGACCAATAGAATTACACTGTGGGCGGAGCTACTGCAGGGCTGAGCCATATAAAACACTTATTTAATTTTCATTATTTTAGTTGACAAAAATCATGCTATTGGACTAATTTCATGATCTTTGCCGCCACTCAGTTCAGACAAAGAATATGTATTATATTTAATATCAGTTCAGAAATTTTTAAATATGTCTTAACTTAAATATGATAAAAATTACATTTGGTAAGTTTGATTAATTTCACTTCAAACTGTCCATTTAAGTGAATTGATTTGTTTTAGGGAGATTATTTGTTTGCGCTCACTGAATCCTCGCATGGAATTTTTCATGAATTAAAATGTATTAGTACAAATATCTATAGGTAAAAATGGAGCATATTATTAAATATGCAATCTTAATATTATACATAATATAAAATATTTTATTAAATATAGTTTTACTCATTAATTTTGTGAAGACAGTGCAGAAAGCTTTAACTAGACATTTACTGTATTTTACTGCTTGCATTAAACGTTGTGAAAAGAAAAAACATTGAAAACTTTTTTGTTACTTAAAACCAAAATTAATATAGAAATTAATAAAAAACAATATATAATGCATAAAAAAACAAATCTACTAAAAATTACAAAATTGAGTAATAAAATGAAATTACTCAAACTTTAACTAAAATTAAAATGAAAACAGAAAATCTAAAAACGGACTCAAAATATTATATATAGTTATTTTATATTTATATAAAATATCTTTCCAATTTAATTTAAAAAAAATTCTCATTGTCCAAAGATTTTGTTTTCTACGCTAAATTCTGTTTTAAACCCATCTAGACCAACTGGCCCAGATCCTAGCTTAGAGTTATGTGAGAAGTTTTGTAACTTCTTCATTAACAAGATTGCTTCTATCAGGGTGCAGATTTCTTGTAATTTATCCCAGAATTTTCTATATGAAAATACTAGCTCCTCTGTGTTTTCAAACTTTCAATCTATCTCACTTTCTGAGTTGTCAGACATTATTTTAAAGGGGTCCTATTATGCTTTTTCACTTTTTTAATTTTAGTCCGTGTGTAGTGTGTATGTTTGGGCATAAAAAAGATCTAGAAAGTTACAAATCTCAAAGTCCACTCCAAAGGGAGATATTTCGTTTTTAAAAAAATCCCTTTTCAAGAACTACAACGAACGGCTCGTTTGGACTACAGCGTTGGTTTCCGGGCCCTCTGTTTTGCCTAGCTTACTCTCTATTATTAATGGTAATAAAGACTTCCTGTCTTAAACATGCTGTGGTCCAGCCTTTACTAAAAAAAAACAAATCTTGATCCCACTGAATTAAATAATTATAGGCCTATTTCAAAACTGCCATTTCTGTACAAAGTTTTGGAAAAGGTTGTATTCAACCTAAACTTCCCTCTACCTAAACTCTAATGATATTCTGGATCCTTTTCAGTCTGGCTATAGAGCAAAACATAGTACTGAGTCAGCTCTTTTAAGAGTAGTAAATGACAGATGACACACAGCTTTATTTTCCTCTAAAATCAGGTCCTGATTCAGTGTCCTCCTTGTTGGCTTGTTTAGAGGACATCAAGAGTTGGATGGAAATTAATTTCCTACAGTTGAATCAAAAAAAGACTGAAGTTATATTGTTTGGCCCTTCTCACCTTTTACATAATTTAAGACCTACTCTGGGCCCTTTTGAAGAAAACATCCATGAAAAGGTTAACAATCTGGGAGTTATTTTTGATCCTGAATTGAAATTTGACAAACAAATTAACTCTGTAGTCAGAGCCAGTTTTTTGCAGCTTAAGGGGCTTCGCAAGCTGAAATGTTTTCTCAGTTTGAATGATTTAGAGGTCGTTATTCATGCATTAATTTCAACCAGGCTGGATTACTGTAACGCTCTTTACGCTGGAATTAACCAGTCTTCACTATCACGTTTACAATTGGTACAGAATGCCGCTGCTCGCTTTTTGACAGGGACAAAAAAGAAGGAGCATATTACGCCTGTGTTAGCTTCACTTCACTGGTTACCTGTTAAATTCAGAGTTGATTTTAAGGTTTTAGTTTTTGTATTTAAAGCACTTCATGGTCTTGCCCCAATTTACATTTCAGATCTTCTCCATTTCTATTCTCCTGTGAGAACGCTTAGATCGTCTTCTCAGAAGTTATTGATTGTCCCAAAATCTCGTTTAAAATCTAAAGGGAACAGAGCTTTTTCAATTCTTGGTCCTACACTCTGGAACTCTTTGCCTTTATCCATCAGATCATCCCCTACGTTATCTTCTTTTAAATCATCTCTTAAAACATATCTTTTTTTCTCTTTTTTGCTTAACTTGAAAATAAGTTTTGTTTCTGTTTGTTTCTTTTGTATTAGTGATGTTTTACAATGCTTATTGAAATTTCGTTTAAAATCTAAAGGGAACAGAGCTTTTTCAGTTCTAGGTCCTACGCTCTGGAACTCTTTGCCGTTATCCATCAGATCATCCCCTACGTTATCTTCTTTTAAATCATCTCTTAAAACATATCTTTTTTCTCAGGCTTTTGCTTAACTTGAAAATACTTTTTTGTTTTGTTTGTTTGTTTCTTTGATTGGTGATGTTTTGCATTACCTATTGTATTATTTAATGATTATTTTAATTTAAATTTTATATTGTCTTAATGCTTTTGTTAGCTAATATTTCTGATGTTTTGGCTGTGCAGCACCTTGGTCAGCACTCGTTGCTTTTAAGGTGCTATATAAATAAACTTGACCTTGACCTTATATTGTTACAAATAAAATCAGTTTATGTTTTAATATTGTTTTTTATTTATTTAATTTTAAGTAACAAAAATTTTTTTGTTTAGCGATACTAACCCTGCAAACACAGAAAACAAATAGACTAGCAAAAGATTATTTTCTCTTAAGTGTGTGTGTGTGTGTGTGTGTGAGTGTGAGCGTGTGTGTGTGTGTGTGTGTTTTACCCTCTGGACTGAGGTCCTCCTCATTGTTGAGGTCTCTGGACGGGGTCGGGGACTGAGATGCTCCATGAACGGACGTCTGAGGAGGACAGATCACATCAAACACACTCAGAGCACAGGTGTGCACACAAACACACACACACACACACGTTTGTTTCTGTGAATTGTGGGGACTTTGCATAGACTTCTATTGATTTTATACTGAACAAATTATATTTTCTATCCCCTAACCCAGGGGTTTTCAACCTGTGGGGCCACCTGTCAAGGGGGGCGCGAGCATCAGTTAATTCAGAGACGCGAGTGAAATTACACAAACTTGGGAGGGCGCATGTCCTAAAAGGTTGAAAACCCCTGCCCTAACCCAACCCTAACCCTAAACCCACCCCTTACAGAAAACCTGTTTGCATTGTTACACTTTCAGATAAACATCATTTACTATTTTTAATAATTTTTTCCCTTGTGGGGACCGCAGGCCGGTCCACACAATTTCAGAAATTTCAGGTTTTACTATCCTTGTAGGGACACAAGTACACACACACACACACACACAC